GAAGGTAGGGGGGGGGCTTGCACCGCCGTCACTGCTGCGCAAGCTGTTGGAGGGGTGGCTGCACCCGGAGGGGAGACAAGTCGAGAGACCGGCAGCAGTGTTTTTGTCGCCACTGACTCTGAGCCAACTGCTGGACCGTTGGTGGTGATGCCGAGAGGTGTGGGGGGGGGGCAACGGTGGTGGCAAGCGGTCGCGGAAGCCAACATTCGTTGAGTGCATAGAGCGTGGGCAGTACAGCTCCGCCTCAGTTTTTTGTCGCCTGCCAGCCTTGGCTGATGGCGGCAAACACGCGGGGTGCCGTGTTCCAGAGGACAGGAAGAGGAGTTGCTCCCATAGAGTTGCGCGGATGTGCGCTGTGGCGGCACAAGGAACACGGAAACATTTTTGTTGCCTGAAACGGGCTCTTACTTTTTTTGAGGGTAGCAAGCGAGGCGAGAGAAACACGCACCACATAGGTTTTTGTAGGCATGGTAAGAGTGCGGGTGTGGTTGACAAGAGACATGTTTGCTGTATGCCGGTGAGGATTTGCTGCTTGGAAGAATGTGTGACCGTGTGACGACTGGTGTTTTCGTACACTCTTGCGCTTACTCTGTTTTTGCTCTGGATTCACGTGTTGTGTGCATGTGCGGTCCCATTTATTCCGGACGTCCTTATTTTACACGTTTCGATGCGTACCATGGTATGTTTTTCTGGACGCATCATCAACCAGGGTCAGGAGGGCGGAGGGCCACACAACACGAACTTTCGTGTGTCCTTCTGCGGTGCTCACTTTACTGTTGGACGCGAAAATTATTCAGCAGACGCTTTCCATCGTCGACCGTTAACTCGAACTTGTATCGGAGGGCATTATAGTCTACACCATCAGGCATGGGGACAACCGACTGGCATTGACATTTGTCATGACGTACAGATGACGCCCGCACCTAAGAACCGCTTATATTGGCCAAGGCTCGATGCTTATTGGCTGCCTCCAATTGAGCACCTGTACTTGTTTTCAAAGTTCTCATTTCGAGCAGGCATATCCGTATGGTACACGGGGTTCTTGTTCTTACTTCTGCGCCGAGGGCCCCGTTCGGAGGACTTTTTTCTTTTCTAGTTGGATTCAGCCTGACACTTGAGAGTACTTTCATAACGCAGAGTAAAATAAACGAAGGTCGCTCAACGGAAACCTCTGGAATATCGACGTTCCGCACATCACGATAGGGTGGAGTTAAATACAGACGCGGCATCGCCTGAAAAAATGGCGCATCGGAGCAAACACGTTGAACCATTTAGACGTCCATGAGGGTCACGTTCGACGTGATTGCCCTCCCCGCTCTATCTAACGCCCGTCGTAGCTACATTGCAACCTTCACCCTGCTCTTCGAATGCCGGACCTCCTCACTGCTCTACGGCGCACTCCCCTCAAGCAAAGCCCAGCACCCTACCACCGTACCCGCATCTTCACTTCTGTGCTTGTCCAACGGCATTCATGCGGCGCATCTTTGGTCTACGTGTAGCTCGAACTGCACACGGTAGTCGTCATGGTGGCGGGTGCGCTCCTGAGACGGCCGCAGCCCATGCTCAGCTTTATGAGTACTCCATATGCAGCAACGAACTGTCAAGAGCAGCGGGTTCGGACACTTTAATTCGAAAACTGGTGGGTGCGACGACGGGAGAGGTGTCGGAAAGTTTTCGTCGCCCCCGCGCCGACTCGATGGCCTCCCAGTCTGAATTCGTGGGCAGTTGCCAGCTATGAAATGTTCTTTGATGGCCTCTAAGTGTCGATCAAGAATTACACCTCCTTTCAACTTTGACAGCTGGCCGAGCTATTTCAATGTTTCAAGGGGCAAAGATATGACTCTCGTGCATGGCACGCAGCGTGGCAGACACCCCGATGACAGGCGACGAGGGGCATGCCCTGTACAACAAAGTTAAGCACCTACCCCCCCCCCC